TATTGACCTCACCCCTTTCCTAAGAGGTCTGTAGGGGGCGTGCATAAGCGCACCAACGTGCCTACCGTCCCTGTCCTATTGTTTCTCTTATTCTTCTTTTATTTTTCTTATATGTACCCATTTCATGTATTCACAACTATGTATACACTTATACTTATTATCTTGTAAACAATTGGCAAATCAAATAAATAAATAAAATAAATAAAACAATAAAACATGGTAAATCAAATAAATAAATAAAATAAATAAAACAATAAAACATGGTAATGAAATATGTAGATTTTTAGAACATAATGAATATATAAAAATGTATTTTTTTATTATATCTACAAAATGATTGTAGGATAGATCTGAGATGATAATATGAACGGTCACAAAACAAATTAAATAAAATATGGATTATCTTGTAAAACATGAATGAATAATAGTATAGTCAAATGATAGATTAATAATGATATTAATGTATTTAGGAATATTTGATTGACAATATGAGAATATATACAATGTAATTGTAATTGAAGACTATGAAGTGGAAGCATGAAACAATTTGTAAACCAACCGACACACTGTATGTATATATATATGGAAGATGGCTTGATATTTTTATGTTTTGTTTGTCTATGTTTGTCTTAAAAAAACAATAAAACTTTATAATAATAATAATAATAAAAAGAAGCTGTGGGTGCTCTATCACTGGAGGTTTTAAGAAGAGACTGGATAGCCTCTTGTGTGTCTGGAATGGTATAGGGTATTAGATAACAGGGGGTTGGACTAGAAGACCTTCAAGGACCCTTCCAACTGTGTTATTCTGTTATTCTGCTAATTTCTTAATAGAGGAACTGATTGATAAGTTGGCAAGCTTGATTTTGCTTGATATATTACACGTGGAACACGAACTATGTGTGGGGATGTTGTAGATCACTTGAAACTTTCAAACTTTGTGACTCCCTAATGTTAAATGAATTCATGTGATAATTTACAGTTGTAGAAAATTAAACCATATCATTGAGATAAACCAAAAAGCAATCCAATTTAAAATGATGCTTCTTAATGGAGTAGGTAAGTTTTCCCATTTTTGCATGATTTTTCATATCTGAATTTCATTTCTGAGGGCATCCACTTTATTTTCTAGTTCAATGTTTATTTTTTAATCAATTTTGGCTCCTTATGGCAGCAACTCTAGGAAAATGTTGTTGTAATCATAATGTGTATAAATCCAGTGATACAGCAGGTTTTAAAGTAGTTAATAAATAAATATACTAAGAGCCTCTTCATGTAATTTTACTTAACAATTTTGTAAACTAATCCAAATTGTAAGAAAATATATTGTTGGTAATTTTATTTATGAGCATGCTTGTATCAGTTTGGCATCTGTTAAAATAATATAAAAATATACTAACTTTTTTAGATCAAACAGTTCTACAGACACTACAAAGACTATGAATATATGAACCATGCTACCACACAGACCCGATGAAGGAAAATTTTCCAGAGAAACTGAATCCATCAGTGATATTGCCATTATCTAAAAGTTCTGTCCATGTCAATCATTTTGAAAACCCAAATGTATAAATACATTGTTAATCAAACATCAGTCAAAGCCAATTACAAATATTTGTCACTTTTGACAAATATTCATATAAACATTCTGTAAAAATATGCAAATATGAAAATGTTATTTCAAAATGACACACTATAACATAAATAGTAATTTAAAGAATATGGTATCGATCATAGAACCCTTGGATTTTGTTAAGAAAATGAAGCACATACAAAACCAGTTCCTAAGTTCAGTAATACTAAAAGTATGAGTTTGATTTCCATATACAGGCAATCAATAAAAAAACAAGTTCTAAATTGCTCACAAACATCCAGGGAAATCATGACCAACAGTTCAGCCACCCTTGATAAAAACATCTCTTGATGATATGAAAAAGGAATTGGCCCATCTTTAAATCAGATTTCCCCCTTCCCAAATTCTAGAGTTTCATGAGAATTTTGGGGCCCTTGACATCCTCGGGGTCAAAAAAATTTACTCAGATCTTAAATGTAACCAATTTTCTATCACTTGGACCTTTGCCTCTTAATCTGTTATAAATGGTCATTTCCCCTCACAGTCATGTGACTGTATGTTGTTAGCCTTCGAGTTCTGCTGTCAGATGATTGTGATTCACAATATTTGCTGCTGGCATTTTTTGCTGATTTCCAGGGGAAAAAATTGCCCATTCAAATGAATGGATTCGTTTAATAACCACCATGGTTAACAACCACAACCACAACATTCACTTTGAATGTTGTAAAAAGTCTGAAAAATTGCTTTTGGTCACATGAGTGCCTTGATTTATAATCACAAAAGCTTACAACCATAATTCCAGGCTCAATTATAGTTGTAAGTCGAGGAGTACCTGTAACATCAAATGTCTGGCCACCAGCTATCAGTCTACCAGATTTTTGAAGCATCAAAAACAAGTAATTCATTTTAATATAAAGATACTGGACACAGCACACTTTGATCCTAAGAAGCAAGAAGGAAGTAAACATTTAACCATCTACTCCAGGGTCCCTGAACCTGGTAACTTTAAGACTTGTGGACTTCAACTCCCAGAACTGGAGTTGAAGTCCAAAGTTTCCACGTTTGGAGACCTCTGGTCTACTCATAAATCTTTTGCCTGAGCTAATCACCTATTTCTTCAAACAATGAACACAGAGCAGCAAAGGATGAGGAGCAAAGACATGTATTAGTGAAAGAACAATTTGCTGTACCTTAAATAGGTTGGGAACTTGATACAGTTAATTCAATAATTATGTAAATGCCTAATTAATTAATATTGTGATGACCCTTACCACCTTCAGGAAAGGGAGTTTGGCCAGCTGAGGAGGAAAGATGTGGCTTTCCTCGACCCTGCTGGTGATCTCCCCCCTCTTCATCACCTCTACGGGGTGGCTTAGCCCCGAAGCCAACTGGCTTGGGGAGCTCCAGCGGCAAGCCCAGGCAGAAACCACGCACGATCGTTGATTCCTGCCTGCTGCCGAAGCCCTGCAAACCAGAAGTCCTAAGCCTAGTATGCTGTTTTTTTCTGCAAGTCTCTAGTTGTCAGTTTTGTTTGAAGACATTTAGAAACATACAGGAAATGAGTTCTTCTAGCTTACTACTTCTTAATTAGACAAACTGTCCAGGCTATTTTTCTCTTTCTGTCCAGGATTGGAGAAGGCTAGGCTGAGAAGAAATCCAGGAGAAAGAGTCCGGTCCATGATCCCATGCAGCCCAGTTTCTGAAGAAGCTAAGATGAGGAAAGCCTGCTGCCTAACCTGATATACTCCTACAGCAGCTTATTTGGGTGCAATTGATTTAGGGTTTCTTCTTTATTTTGCACTCTCATGAGTGCAAGCCCCAATGCATCAAGTATGGCAACTAATCAGACCACTCTATATTGCAATTTGTCATGAAGTTTTGTCTTTCCTTATCCCTGGCAAGATCTGTTTTAAGATCTATACTATTGAAATATGTGAAATTCCTGGAGAGTGTAGATTTAATATGTTACACATTTATATGGGCCTAGTTGTGAGGAAAATGTGCCAACTTGGGCTGATCTCAGAAAACTGAGGAGGGTGGTCTTTGTTAGTATTTGCATGGAAGACCACAAGGGCGGTAGGCTAGATTGGGAAGTAAAATATAAATTAATATAAAGGAGGACGTTGAGTGGGATCCCTAGTAGATCAATTTTGAGTTAATCGGTGATAAATAAATTATAGCTTTATAATTAATTAATTAATTAATTAGACATTAAATATGGAGGACTGGAACTTTGAGTTGAAACATTGTTGAAGAAACAGTTTGGCCTGGACTTTGAACTGAGCTGTGGCAATCAGATCCACCTCAAACATGCAGCTATTGAATCAGTGTCTTTTCCAGTATACCAGGAGTTCAGAGTCCACTTTGACTTAACGGCATCTTCATTTACTGTATGTGGAAAAGTTACCTTCATGATGGACTAGTTTTTATGGCGACCTATACTAGTTCAGATAAGCTGTCTCATCAATTAAGCATTCTACAAGCAGCTATTTTGATCTTTACATCACTTGTTTGTTCTGTATAATGTACATACCTTTGTGTTTGCCCTCTATGTTTTATGATCTTTTTCTGTTATTTTAAAAGCAATATGATTATTTTTAAAGTTTCTAGGGGACTCCCTGGTCCCCTCCTTCAATATAACATTTGTATACATAGTGCTATGACAGCGCTAGTAAAACTGGGTCAATGGCTTTTACTATTGACATATTATATGGTTTGGACTGTATTACATTTTTTTTCTCAGCAAAAGTCATTCAGCCTGAGAGAAAATGATTGCTGTTTACCAGTCAATAAAGCATTTTAGAAATGTCTTTAGAAATAGTTTGTAAACACAAGAAGTCACTAGGATAAAAATATCTCCCATACATTGATCCATTAGTAATATATATTAATATATAAAAGTACAAATATATGCCTTTAACAAATACATTCAAACTTTAAAAAATCTAATCATCCTTCAGGTTAAAATTATACTTAGTTGCTGATTGTAAAGCTAAGACTTACCCCAGTTACATTTTCAAATTTATTCACTGCTGTGAAAACCTGACATCTAGGAAGACACGCCTGTATGAATGCTTTTTTAACTCTTTGTATGGCAGGGAAGCAGCTTGAATCAGAAGGCATGCAGCCTGTCCCCGTGGCTCACTTTTTTTTTCTTGCTTCTTTTGTTCTGTAATTAGTATTCACTACTGAAGTGCAAGCAACCATAGAAGCAAAGTCCAAAGCCTTTTGGTAACTAGGCTGTAACTTGGAATGCCTGGCAACTTCAATCTGTGCTGCTGTACCTTTAAATTCTGAGATAAATCCAGAGAACTGTGAGGTCCAGCCCTTGGGGAAAAAAAACCCAACTACAGATGGGTCTTTTTTTCAGAGCAACTGCATAAGGACTAAGCACAGAGAAGATTCTGGCAAGCCTCCATCCAGCAACATGGCAAAGCATGTTGTGTGTCTCCTGCTAGCCCTTACCCTGGTACGCTCATCTCTTGCACAGCCAAAGCTCCTACTGTTTTTGCTTGATGGGTTTCGACATGATTATATCTCTGAGGAAGCACTATTGTCTTTGCCTGGCTTCAGAGAGATTGTCAGCAGGGGAGTGAAAGTGGACTACCTAACCCCCGACTTTCCCAGTCTTTCTTATCCAAACTATTACACCCTGATGACTGGTGAGTACCTTCTTAAACTTTCTAACTGTTGTGCTCATCAGGGCCACCAGCCGGAAGTGCCACAGCTCAGATTTCCATAACTCTGCTTGTGCGAGCCAATGCAGACAAAAGTATCTGATGAAGATTTGTCTTGGCAAAGGTTAACGAACTTGCTTGAAACAAACAGTACAAGGGACTAAAAATCTGCTTGATACTCAAGAAAGCAACCTTTTGTACAAATGCTATCTCACCAATTATTTAGAATTTATCATCTCAATTTGAAAATCCTCAAGGTGAAAATACCCACTCAAAATTTTAAGATAAATAAATTTGAGTGCCTATTCCAGTTAATTATTTATATTCATTTAAAATTTTAATTTCAAGCACTGCCCAATCATCAACTTGTGATTTTAGAAGGATTTAAAAATGAGTTAATTACACTACTAAGTCCTATTAGACTTCTCCTATCAGGAAAAGAGAATTCCTGGGATTATTCAAAGCAATTAAACAGTTTTAGAATACAGGATGTTTTTCCAACTTAGCATAGAAATATAAATGGTTCTTCCCATGGTTTTACAAACAGCTGAATGAGACATATTTGGCTCATTGATAAAAATGAATATTCATGTTTAAGCATATTGTAAAAATACTTTAATGAGATTGACAGTCCTTTAACAATAAAACTTTCATCTTTTTAAACTAAACTTGGAAAATCACATTAGAACAAAAAACAAGTTGTCCTATTTTTAAATGGTAATAAATCTGTTTATGGTTTACTAATTACTCCCTGTTATGAACCTGAAGAGCACTTCATGTACCTTGTGAGATACAAATTCAGCTTTGTTTTTTCAGTGGACACGTATGATCATCCCCTTTTCTATTAACCAAGAGTCTAAGGTTTGTTTATCCTTAGCTAATTGCAATGTACTGTTTTCCTTTAACATAGTATGTTAAACCTGTTTAACAACTATGTAACTATGTTCCAAAATATGTGTGCCAATGCTTGCCCATGTAACACTTGCAAAATAAACATCTTTGTAGAGCCATCATAACATTACAATTAATTGAGTTTGAACTGGTGCAGTAATAGGTACATTGCATCCTATGATGAGAGAGCAAGTCTTCAAGACTTGTAATTATTCACTTAGGGTGTTGGCTTGTATTTCTTCTCATAGAAAAGCCCTTCGCCTTTAAGACTTCTTCAGAACCAGCATTTATGGCTTGTTCTCAAAGTTTATTTTTCCTTCTTAATCTGGTTGGAAGAACAGGAATGCCAAGCAAGCCACAGAAAATTTGTCCAAAGAATATCCCACAGGATTTACAATTAAAAGGCAACACATCTTTTTAAAATGCCTACTTGTTATTATCTGACTGGAACATTCCACCAAAGAAATAGCTGTATTTCCTGGGATGAGAAAAAAAAAATCTTGCTGCCCTTGCATTACTAAACAGTATCAGTATCTAAGAATGACAAGGGAACTATAAAAGTTGTCCTTGTGAAACTGGACAAATATCAGTTTCTTCCGACTAAGCTGTGGGAAATCTTAAATAATCAACAACACACTTTCTTGCTATTTCCTGTTTAACAGCAATGGTGTTAAAGTCAGGAAGGGAAGGGAATTTGGTTGATGAGCAAGCTAATAAAGACCCATGACTTGAAGAAGAGTTGGGTTTGCTGAAAATAAACAGAGGTCAAGGCCAGATTTATTGATTTATACTTAAGGCACAACTTATAACTTTCTGGTTCTTGCTTACTTGCAACTGTTTCTTCCAAGATGAATTATTATGTTCTTGAGCAGAAAATGCCCACAAGTACTGCCCAGTTTGCTTATCAAGAAGCCAATCCCACTTTCCTGAAAGAGGGTTGCTTCCAGGCAGCTGTCCAAAATACAGCAGTTTGGTCATTTCTGAATGTTAGATAATGGCGGCAATGATTTGTAATGACAATGGTGAAAATTCTAAAGACTGTTGGAAAAATATTAAGACAAGTAACTTAACTCCTAGTTCAACTCTCTTATGCTTGTCTTTTCAAGATGACACCACCTAGAATTGACAATGCTTCAATACCCAGAATTATCAGTTGCCTTGCCAAGAATTTGATTGGTTTAGATGGGAAGCTTACTTATTCAAAGGCTGGTTTGTATTTCATCAAGATTTTTCAAAAAAATAATCCTTTAGTGTTATCTTTAGATTATAATAAAGTTAGTCCTGACATTGGCTCTATTTTGAAAATCCTAAAGTTTCTTAGAAAATACAGAACATGTTCATGAAGAATTGATAGACAAAATATTTTCTGATTATCAAAATATGTTTCTGAAATCGTTCAAGATGTAATTATTCAATAGAGTGTTTGGTGACCAGATAATTGTTGCAGTTTTAAATTTTTAGTTTAACTCTTGTATTCCAATTTTATCCACTATTTTGGCTGTGTTTATTTTTTTCATATTATTTATGTTGTATAGCATTTTGATTTTAATTACATTTGATGGGTGGCTTTTAATTGGATGTAGGTTTTGCTTCGTTACAATAAACTACTACAATCTTTTTGAATCAGTGTTAAAGAAAAAATAAATATAAATAAATAAAACAGAATTTAAATATAGTTTGAATTACTAAAGAAAGTAATGCTTCTTAAATGCAGTTCAAAATATTTTAAAAATCAAATATATAATCTAGCAGTATATGTGCTTTTTATTAATTTATTAAATTATATTAATTTAATAAATTAATAACAACACCTTTTAGAGAGTGAGATTTATCAAAGCTAACAAAAAGCTAAATATATAATTAGAGGTTTTTTAAAATTGTATTTTGCCCCATTCAAGTTTACAAACCTCTTGAAACCAACTTAAGAATCCTGATGTAGACATAATAATACAGAATCCTAGGACAATGAAGATAATTCTGAATTGGATTCTGAAAAGAGAGGAATCCTCAACAGATTTCTTTCTTAAAGCTGAAGTTGGTCTATTGTGATCTAATGCTGACTTAACACATTGTGGTGTCATTTGTTGGTTTTGTCCTATTTTATTGTGTGAACCAAGCAGTCTGATGTGAAGAATGGAAAATCTGAAGGCTTCACTGCATTTTTCTGCAGTATTAAAATTTGAAGCAATAAAAATGTAGCTTAATTTTTAAATTAGGCTTACATTTTTTTTATAAAATCTGGCAAAAGAAGAAGAAGAAGCCCTCGCCTGACTTATGCATGATGTTGTTTTGCTCACTTGCTCACTAGCTGTTTATTTCACATACCACATTTGACTTGGTTAAATAGAACATGATTAATTAATGTGTGACCATAGCTTAAGATTGTCCTTAATGCTAAACACTACAGGATAGGATACCATTACCCTGAATCAAAAGTTCCAGTAGTTCATTTTTAATTCATTCCATTTATTTCACAGGTTTCTTACAGTTGACAATATTTTTCTACTGGAGTAGAGTATCATATAAGTAAAAAAAAAAGAGCAAATTAACCTTAAAAATATTTTAAAGTAACACTGGGAGTATCCAGAAATTTGAAACATTAAACAGAAAATAATATTAATTTTTTCCCATTTCCCAACAGCTCTTTACCTAAACTGCATTACAAGTTCATTAGGACTATTCATTTAATGACTGTTACTGAAAAAAGGGACTTATGACCTGCATGTATAACTGTCCCACACCCTCATGGTCATGTGATTGCAATTTGGGCGCTTGGCAACCAGCTTGCATTTACTGCTAGTCGCAGTGCCTTATGGTCCTGTGATCATGATTTGTGCCCTTGCTTTGCCAATTTCTGGCAAAATATGGCAATTGGGGAAGCTGGATTCACTTAATGACTATTGATTAATTTAACAACCATGTGATTCACTTAACTACCACCAAAAACATTGTAACACCAGGTCTGTTGTCACTTGACTCCAATTGACTTAGGATAGAAATTCCAGTTCTAGTTGTGGTCGCAAATCGAGGACTATTTGTACATCTAGATTGAATGATACTTCAGAAAAGGAATATCTTGGCATGGAAGGCTTGTCAGAGCAAGGAAATATTAACCAGGAAAGTTTTAACAGCAGGGAAATGTGCAAAAGTATTTTTTTCTAAGGTAATGAAAGATCTGTTATTGATAAACTTGGATAAGGTTGTATGATGACTTGAAGGTCTAGCTGGAATGTGTGCCTCTATTTAAAACATTCTGGAGAAAGGTGTGAAAGCATACAGTAAGTAAATTGCAATAAGACATGGTCATATCGTTCCATCTTGATTATTGTATCTTTGTAGCTTGTTTTACATAAAAGAGTTCACTATTCTCTGGAAGTATTAAGTCTTCTACAAGATGCCTCACTAGAGGTCTGAATGCCTGGATGATTTGGAAGAAGCACACTTGAACTGCATATCTTCCATTCAAACAAATAATGATGATTCGGTGGTACAAGACAAAAATTGCACTGAGCCGGGTGAAATCTGAGCATATTTATAGAAGACAAATAGAAATGGCATTCTCCATACATTTTGCACAGTGCTTTGCTGTTGGCAACCCCTAGCCTGGGTGATGAGAATTAGAAATCTAAATATTTTACATCTAAAATTTTTGCCTGGAAAGGATCATCAGTACAAGAAGGCCTAATTCCTGGCCAAAAATAAAGCAAAAGGGAGACTTATCAGCTCTAACCTGCAAAAAGTCTGATAATCTCTTGATGGCATTCATATGGATACAGGACATATTTTTGCTGTCTTCCCAATTTCTGGAACTCATGTTGGCTAATCCTGGTGATTGTGGGACTAAATGTTTAAGCTACAGGCCTCAATGATAGACCAGAAATACTGAATCCAGCTCATGACACAACTAGTTCTCAGGCTCTAGCCATGATCTACAGACTTATTTTGAAACCAGTTCACTGTGCTAGGAAAGCAAAACAAGATTATGAATACAACTCCTGTAGAACAATTAAGCACTGTTATTGCATTGGCTTGGTTTGTTTCCTTTTAACCTTTTCTTTCCCATAAACACTAAGCTAAAGTAGAGGTGGTTAAATTCAGCAAGATAGCCCATGAAAAAACCAATAATTATTGTTACATTATTTATTTTGCAAAGAAAATACCACATCCTATTTTTAAAGTTCATCTACTGCATAGATTTTATTTGGAAAAAAAACCACCACAACCTGCTAGCATAGAAGAAACTGCTGCATGAAATAAGCAAACCAAAAAACACAATAGCTTGGTTTGTGGGCAGTTGGATTTAGTGGTATCCTTTCAGGAAGTCATTTCAGCTGCCATGTTTCTGAATTCTGAGTATTTGCAGTTGTAAAGAGAATGTTTCCATAGCATATATTTTCATTCTGACTTCCTGGTATCTCCCTAGCTCATTGTTTTTATTTAAAAATAATTATGTTAACATGCTATTATGGGTGTGAGAAGCAAATGTATATTTCATGTGTGGTTCTTGAAAATTGTTCAGAAATTGCCTTTCCATAAATGCAATTGAGAAAATATAACAGACCATTTCAGGATACACTGTTTGCTGGAGAGTTTGGCTGAAAGGGCTAGTTCTCATCTAGAAATATTCAAGTTGTAAGGCAGACATTTATTACAGATGATTACTTCCAGATAGACAATTTATTTTCTGCATAGATGACTTTATGAGTAATCTTGGGCAACAAAGTAATACGAGAGCAAAAAAAATTGATTAAAGCAAATATGTTTTGCTAACATACTATCAAATTGTATGCTATGAATTTATTATTAATGAATTACTCTACTATTGGTTATTATAATCTACCTGTTTTTATGGTGGGGAAAGATTTCTCTTTATTTGAATGGATCTTTTAACGGATAAAAGATTTCCCTTTATTTTAATGGATCCCTTTGGGGTCCATTGCCCCCAAAGAAAATACAGACTAAGAAAGTTGAAAACAAAAACAAAATACTATTAATCAAGGAGAAGTTTCATTATTTTAAAATTTCAATCCAAGTACACAGTTGATGGATGAAAATAGTTTATTAGGAAAAAATTAACATGGTGTATTTACATAAGTACAATACTTAAAAATCAAATTCTGATTTGAATCAAATGGCCTCAATTGAAGGATTCTTCTAGATTCTTTATGACTTTATCATTATTTTCAGCCATTACAGTGCAATTTTCAATATTACAATCTATTGAAATATGTTTAAGTAGGTAGCAAAATATGAAATTGCATTTCTGAGGAATTTTCCATATTTCTTCAAGAATTTTTTAATTAAAACAAATGCAGTAGCTATTTGAGCATTGGTCAGATTTTAATGTTAAAATTTTGTTTCTTAAATGGTGCTCAGTCTGTGTTTATTTGGGCATATGCCATATGTTTTTCTTCAAAGCATTTTATTTGATAACTCCTGGTAATTAACAACGAATTCAGGAAAAGGGCCATTTACTTTTTAGAAATACTTAAGGCTTCAAAAATCTAAGGAGTAGCAAAGAAATAGAAGCCACTTTTGAGCCACCCAAACTTGCACAGGTTACAAAGAGTAGCTATATTAGACAGTCTTCTATGGAAACAGAGAAGTGTGTCCACTGCCTGCATCAGCTCATGTGGCTTGTTTTGGAGTTGACAAGCATGTGAATGAGGGAGCTTCTAAATAGAATTATTTTAAAATAATTAAGGGGTAATGACTCTGGTAGATGACATTTCTTTGTAAATATTTCAGTATATTGAATGAGGATAGATTTTTAGTTTAGATTAGTTTATTGTCATTGCACCTCATACAACGAAATTAAATTCCATCTTCAGTGTACATTATAACTATAAAAATAAACACAAACACACATCCTTCACATTCTATACAATTGAATTGAAACCCCCTGATATTGCATTAATATTGTACTATACAGTAGAATTCAATATAGTTACTACTCTGGAATAGAAGCTGTTTTTCAGCCTATTTATCCTTGTTTTTATTATCCTGTACCAACTGCCAAATGGTAATAGTTCAAAAAAGGGTGCCCAGGATGAGATGGATTTTTAAGAATGTTTTGAACTTTCTTAAGGCAGCGGGAGCTATAAAGCTCTTCCAAAGAGGGGAGAGGGCAACCAATGATCCTCTGGGCAATGATGTTAACCCTCTGGAGTGCTGTCCTATCTGCCACTGTGCAATTGGCCTTCCATACACAGGTGGAGTAAGTTAAAATACTCTCTATGGTGCAGTGATAGAAGGTCACCAGCAGTTTTTCATTCAGTTGTTTTTCCTGAGAAGTCTTGGGTAGTATAATCTCTGCTAAATGTCTTTCTTCCCAGAATGTGTGTTCTCTAGTGCTGGAACTTTAGTTCACTCTCCCATGACACAAGTGTGTGTGTGTGTGTGTGTGTGTGTGTGTGTGTGCGCGCGCGCGCCTTAGAAATCAGAATAGATTCCTGGTATATGAATATGGAAGTGGTTTGCCATAGCCTCTTTTCTAGAGCTGACAGAGCATGACTGTCCCAAGATCATCCAGCTAGCTTAGTGCCTAAGGGAGGAATAGAACCCATGGCTTCCCAGTTTCTAGACTGATGCTTCAACCAGTATATCAAACTGACTTTGCCCATTCATGGAAAAACTGAGTAGTAGATTCGGTTCAATAAAAGTAATAAAAATATTGCAAATAGCACTATATTTTAAATTGCTGAAGATATAGGAAAACCCTAAGATAGAGAACTTTCTGCATTTTTTAAACTGCAAGAGGAAACTCACAGCAGCCTGAATATCCCTGATTGATCTTGATATATTTTATAATGATTTAAGTTTAGAATGTATGGTCATTCATTGAAGAAGAACCAGTTCATCTAGCAAAACAAAACCAGCTAAAGCTTTAGCTAGTGGGGTGTATTAGTTAAAATGTTAGACTTGAGAGGATCCAGGTTGATTTACTTATTTATTCCACTATTATGTTTTATCAATTTGGTTGATATGGTTTATTCAACTGATATGACTACCCTTCTTACCATTATGACTCTGGGTAGTAACAGCAGATTGAAATCCTTTCCCAGATGGACAAGCTTGTTGGGTGACGACCAGGAATTATCTCCCAACATAAACTAATTCATGCACAGTTTAGTTTATGGAGAAAAATGGAAAGGGGAAATGCTATTTATCTTGAGTTCCCACGGGACAGTTTAAATCTAATAAATATATAAACAACTAAGTGGCGTCATTTATTGAGCAACAGTAGTAGCATCTTTCTGAAGATTCTTTCCGGTGAGACCATACAAGCTATTCTGTCTATGGAGGACATTTATTCCATCACCAACATTTAATCCAAGTGCCACTCTAGTTTGCTACTGTCAATTATAAACAAGAATGGGTATTGTGTTTTAAGGTGAGGAAAACAAACAACTCAAAGCTTATCCTTGTCAGGATGTTTAAAAAACATAATTATTGTACAGCACACATTTCCTGAGCAATACTGTAATAAGAGAAAAGTAAGGTTTTAATTGAAGAAAATATTTGTAGGTCAGGGTTGAACTGTGGAGTCCTTTGTGCTTGGATTATTGATTATTTTCTTGCAAATATTTAATTACTTAAATGCATAACATCTTCAATAAACCAAGAAAACCAAACAACTACAAGGAAATTTTGTTAACCAATTAAGTCCAAGGAATTCCTTGTAGCTGATAATAGATAACTGATAAACCAAGATTGTACTGCAAATGAAAACCTACCTTACTATAATTTCTCTTTGTTCCTTATATGTTTCTTTATGATACCATACAGTAAGGGACCAGTATAAAGCAACTTTTTTCTCTTCAAGGTCGCCACTGTGAAGTCCATCACATGACTGGAAACTACATGTGGAATCCAGGGACAAATCTGTCTTTTGACATTGGAATGAACCCAGAGAGCCTTCTGCCGCTTTGGTGGGATGGATCCGAGCCCTTGTGGGTCACTATGACAAAAGCCAAGAGGAAGGTCTCTATGTACTATTGGCCTGGTTAGTACTGCCAATTCTCTTCAGCTGACTGACTAATATTGTATATTCTCTATGACAGGAGTGTCAAACTCACATCATCACGGTGGCGTCACATGACGTATCGGGACTTTTTTCCCCTTCGGTAAACTGGTTGGGGGCATGGCCAGCACAGGAAGCATCTGGCCCGTGGGCTGGGAGTTTGACAGCCCTGCTCTATGATACAAGGTTATAATCTCCATAAGGAAGGTAGGTCATGGGAACAAAATTCAGCTCAGCCTTGTTCCCAAAATCATAACTGAAAAAATTATTTGTTTTACAGCATCTGTTTAGGGTGCCTGGAAGAAAACTTTCACATGTAGGTTTTCCTTTTCTGAATATAAACATTTCTTTTTAAGGTATACCAACATTTTTTTAGTCAGTCATTCATATACAGAAAATCCATATTTGCCCTGAAGGGTTTTTTAAAAATGTTATTTTAATCCAACAATTCATTTTTTCTCGGCCTCCAAGAATAGTGGACTTCAGCTTTCATAATTTCCTAGTCCCCATGGCTTTTACCAAAGAAGTTAGGGAACTTATGGAGTCATTTTCCACATACTCTGGAGGATAACATGTTAAGGGAAAGTCTTTTGTTCTTTTATGCTCAGACCTATTTGAAAATTTAGTACATTTTATCTGTCCACCTGTCTATCTAGCTATCATCTATCTATATTTCATATTTCTTAACTGCCCACTTCCCTCAGACAGGCGCTCTGAGCAGTGTACAATATAATCAATAATTTTGCTTGTTACATACACTTCTCTTGTCATTATTTTCTTTGTTTCTTATATTTACAAAGTACATTGAAGGACATTGTTTAAAATGATTAATTAACATATGCAGGCCAGATTGCTTGAAGTTTAATATAAAGGAGCAAGATATACTTTAAAAATATGAGATATCCAAGTATAATATTTTTTCTGGATAATTTATGCTTCATACTATTATACTGACAACTAATTCAGAAATAGGAAAAATGTTCTATTCTCCTTAGTCCTAGTGACAGATTGTAGATGCATGATATGTTGTAATCACCCTTGCATGACTATGTTTACAATTAACTATTCACAGTGTAAAACCTGGAATGATTTCAATAAGCATTTTACAACATAATTTCCAATCAGAGTACTAGGTGGAGCAACATTGGTATTATGTTATGACTGTTCTGCACTAACTATGCAAAACAAAAGGGAGAGGGATAGCAGAAAAATAAGCAATTCATTTTCTATGAATTCTTTGTATTCCCTGTAGCTTAGAGGTGTTTTAGAGTTCTTGCCAGATGACTGAGAAATCGAGTTTTATGTTTTAATAGGAGTTTCTATAGGGCATCACCATGTACAAAAATATCAGCAAAATACGAATGCATATGTCGGATTATAGGCTCTAAGTGGAATCTAGATTTCCTCTGCCAACAGAAAGCTTTCATCCAGAGGGAAAGAAGAAAGATTTGCTGCTGTTCCTGCACTTCCTCTAACCCAAAAGACCTCCCCCCCCAAGACACACTTTCAAATTTCACTTGAACAGTTTGAAGCAAATTGAAGCTAAAGGAGGTTATAGGGGGAGAGCAAGTTCAAACCCCCTTTTCTTGGAGGAAACTTTTGCTTTTGGAGTTGTCTTCATTAGTCTTTGCATTGTTTCTATGTATGGAGTTTGATATCAGTGCCCAAGTTGATGCTAGCATATCCATATATAGTAGTTCTCAACTTGCAACAGTTCATTTAGTGACCATTTAAAGTTACAACAGCACTGGAAAAAAATGACATGATCATTTTTCATGTGACTATTGAAGCATGTCCATGGTCATATGAGCAAAATTCAGAAGCTTGGCAACTGACTCATACTTACGACAGTTGCAGTGTCCCAGGGCCAGGGGATCTCCTTTTGTAACCACCTGACAAGCAAAATCAATGGAGAAGCCAAATTCACTTAACAACATTACTAATTTAATTAGTACATTTAATTCCTATTTTAACCACTGCAGTGATTTACTTAACAACTGAGGCAAAAAAGGTCGCAAAACGGGGCAAAACTCACTTAACAAATGTTTCAGTTATCTATAGAAATGCTGGTCTCAATTGTGGTCATAAGTTGAATGCAGAGTGAGGCAATAAAACTCTTATTGATTCATTCAGGTTCTACAGAGTTCAGGTCACCTTTTGTGTGTGTATTTAATCATGCCTTTTATGCAACATTATATTAAGAAATTCAACACAATGGATAGTGTTGCAGCAATAAATAAACGAATAAAAGGACAATATAAATTGATTTGCTCAGTTTTCACAAACAGAAGAACAGGTCAATCCAGTCTTCCTTTGTTATACTTTACAAGCTATTTTTCCATCATGTTCCTCAATTCCATCCAAATATAGACTCTTTTGGTGATAATTCTCAGATGACAATTTGATTTTTAGCTTATATTATCTTTATTAAAAATAGCATAGAATAATGAAAAAGGTCTTTGTATTTAAATATTGATAATATTCAAACATGGATAATAATTAAATAATATAATTCATTTTAAAATGTTTGCGCTTAAATATTGTACTTAGATCATTGCATCATTACTGCAATGGAGTAGTGATAAAAATAATTATTATTACTTTTGAAATAATTGGCAGCAAGTTTTATTAAAGTATTTCACAGCAGCCAAAACAATGTCCATTAGCGTATTTTTGAAGGCCAAGTCCATTGAATACCTAAGAACAGAAGTCCATAGACTTACACATTTTTACAGAGTTGATTGCAGGCTATGAGGCTATACAAGAGAACATTCCTTAACTTAAAATGTACACATTGATGGAGCTGTTTGTCAGAGTTGGCTGGCTGAATGATCTGAATGGGAGTGCATGTCAGAGTCCTGACACTGTTACAATAATGTATAGCAATAGCAATAGTACAATACTCACAACTTACATCAGCTGAGGGTGGGGCTCTGGCTGAACACAAAGTGAACTAAAGAAGCAGAGGTGGTATTTGGCAAGTTCTGACCAGTTCTGGAGAACCGGTAGTGGAAATTTTGAGTAGTTCGGAGAACGAGCAAATACCCGCTCTGACTGGAGATTTTACTGTATCCTTCCCCTGCCACGTCCACCAAGCCATGCCCACAGAACCAGTAGTAAAAAAAAAATTGAATCCCACACCTTAGTTTGAAAATATATGGGATTTAAAGTCACGTGACAAATACAGCATTTGGCATATGGCCCCTATTTGGAACAGTGCAAATACTGTAGTTACTAAAATGGGATTAAAATATGTATTTTTCCTCCAATGGTTGATTTTTTTAAATCTCATATTTATAAATGATTATGCAATCACTTAGGTTTTAGAAAGTATGAATGTACTTAGTCTAATTGAAGTTAAACCAGTGGCATATGCAGATGGTGTAAAAAAAGAGTTTTGATGGTGGCCATACCCACCTGATTAAAGCCCTATGTGTCCTAATGTGACATGATTAATGTAAAAAGAGGTGGAGCTGTACCACGTGGTACTATGTGATTTTTAAAAATCCTTCCCCCCCCCTCCAGCGTAGCTGTCTCTGAAACAAATTTTTTGACCCTCCTTCAGTGGGATTAAAAATTTTAAAAAGAAACACCACTACTTAATTCATTTCTTCTCTCTACAAAATAATGTGTTTCTGTGCATATCTGGAAAGCTTTAAAAGGTTTCAGTTACATCATTCAGCACCCGATTATTAAACTATGGTTTATACATTTAATTTGAAAATGATGAGAGTTTCATTCAGGTCTCAGGGTCCAATCAATAAAGGTACAGGAAAGCATGCATTTCATTTTAAGGGGAGAGAGAAATGGAAGAGTTTTTATTATTCAGATGAAATTATTCAGTACAATTCAAGATGGTGCTACTTTGGTCTTGAAATATTTTGTGCTCCTGATGATTTGAATGTAGATGAGAACTTTTTCAAAATGCCGGTAGGGAGTTGTGTATGAGAAGCTGTTCTATAAAATGCACCTCAGGCCCTGCATTTGAATTTTTTTTTTTTTTTAAATTCTGGATTTGGCCTTGGCACTGAAAAAGCAATGTAAGAGTTAATATGAAATCTAAAGCCTACTGTTTTGAAGGAGCAGTTGAAATCTGAATATAAACGTAATGATCAATCATTTTTGTTACATGATATAACTTTTCAACATGTTTTTTTCATGGAAAATAGACAAGCCCAATATGGTATGATAAAGATTTTTAGAAACAGTTTCTTTGTAATTTAGAAAGAAAGACTTCTTTTATGTCTTAACCTTCCCCAACCATACCTCAAATTGACTAAACTGGCATTAATCAGCTTTCTTCAAACCATAGTTTCCTGATTCTAACCATTATCTCTCCAATCTTTGATTGAAGGATATTTGCTAGCCTCAAAGGAGGAACAAATTGCCCCAATTTATGAAATCCAACTGATTTACAACATTTCTATATTTCTCTTTATTCCATCTTATCTTTAAATAATTATATAAATAATTATTGGAAATAATTATCACAACACTATGATTTCAGAAGATCTGAATTATTAAAAACTAAATTCTTGTAATTTTTATGTGAGTAGAGCCCCAATAAATATTAATACGGTGGTTCTCCTTATCCATACTTGATGTTTCACTTTGGGAATTGTTGCCACTAGTTTCTAAGTCTCAGTGTAACATATTTGTTGAAAAAGAATTGTGGTGTTAGAAACTATATTGGTTCAAACAGCTTTAAGAAGACTGTATGGGGAAATAGAGTCAAGAATCTAACACGTTTGTTTTATAAAAAGTAGTGAACTGGATAAAGCTATTCTTTGAGAAGTTAGTTTTTGAAAAATTATTTTGACAACTATTTTTGTCAGATAACATTACTTCTAACAGAAAGCAGAAATTGTTCAAGATCATGTAGAACTCAGTTGAGGACAAAGATTGTTTGTGTGTCTGTGTGCACAAAACATAGACACATAGTTCCTGCATCCTTGAGTGAAGATATTGAAATTAGTATTTTCTTCTTAGAGTTTGATATATCTGCTGATAATTAATTATAATTAATGAACTATTATTTAGTGCAATGATAATACAAATAAAATAAGCAAGTGAAAAATTAAGTTACATTATAGATTTTTTTATTTATAGACAAACATGCACATATGTGCACATGCAGATACATGGATTTGACTGCCAATCGATCGTCAATCGTCATCTTTCAGTGTGAATATTTATACTGATGATTTTAATATGAATTCTTCTATTCTCATTACTTTTTTAAAATTAACTTTCAGTCTGAGAACCAAAATCCATCCAAGGAACAATTTAATCTAGGTTTAAAATTTAAGCAAGGTTTGTTTCTTCTTAGGCTGCGAAGTTGAAATCCTTGGAATTCGACCTAACTATTGTATACCATATGAAAATGTTCCAACGGATGCCAATTTCTCCAATGCTGTAAATCATGCCATTGAGTCTTTAAGGTAAAATCACCAAATCATTTTAATTATTTCCTTGATAGAAAAATGAAAGGCTTTGTTCTTGTTCTACCAGTTTGATAATAGCATAAAATCATCTACATTTTCCATATAGTATTGTTTGGCGGTAGAGGAAAAAAATAATGCAAATAATGCAAAAAATCTTCACAGTGGAACTTTTCCTCCTATGTTTACTTGCCAAAGTCGCTGTTCTTATGAATCCTAAAAGACATGTTTAGTGTGCTAATATACCAAGCCCACATATGAACATTGGGAAACAGAGGTGTAGTTTGATCCAGTATGACTTGCACATGAACAATTATAAAGGGCAGTGAAGACATTTAAACTTGTATAACAGCATCAAATTAGATGTCATATAACTCATGTTGAAACTGGCTAGTTTTATTTTGGATAAATAACAGTGGTGGGACTTAAATTGAAAACATGCTTCCAGTCTAAATTAGGACACCATACTGAAAATCTTTCTTGCAGGATTTGCTTTCAGACATTCTATTTCCAGTTGCAAGTTCACTTTTAAGATGAATAGAGAGGTATGATTTTCACTCAAAAACTGACAGAATCTCTAATCAAGATATAGGGAGCCTCAATTCTTGACATCCAAACAGTGACTTGAAAATTAAGCAGCTGGATTTGGTCTAAGAAATGAAAATCAAGGGGTTTGTATTGCTCTGTTGATTTGCTTAATGAAGCCATTGCCTTATTTTGCCTATTCTACATGCAAGACTTATTCAAACTTTGTGGGAAATGAAAAAGTTTAGTCAAATCATTTTTTAACCTAACATTTCATCTCAAAAAGTTACTTCAAGAGTTAATGAATCACAAATGTTGCATAATATTGTTAACTTATTGCCTTGAACTTGCAAAAAAGTATTTTTCAAAGCCATTACAAAAAGTGCCAAAGGACAATTAATATATATTACTTTACTTAGTACTTTTAAGAAAAGACAACACAGACTGAAAATAAAACGAGAAGAATTAAGAGAACAAGGGATCTCCTTGCTTTTCTTTTCTTAGAAAATATTCCAAGAGAGCAGGGAAAAAACTAGATCAGATTGAAAAGGCACTATCGAAGTAAGTTTATGTTACATTTAATTCTTTGGTGGTTATGTACCTATTACAGCAATGGTGCAGCAGACATGGCAGCCATATACTATGAACGGATTGATGTAGAAGGTCATCGTTTTGGCCCTTCATCATATCAGAGGAAGAATGCTGTAAAAGCAGTGGATAACGTCTTGCTCAAGATGTCTAAGCTTATCAAGGTTTCTGTCACCTGGAAGCTACAATATCCTTTTAAAGATGTTTCTTTTACTCTCTTCAATTTTTTAATTAAATATTTGCAATTATTCAGTAAAAACTACTTCATAGGTTACTTATTGCTTCTATTCTGAATATTAAGAAGCATGCATATCCAAGATGTTACATTCAGCCTGGGGAGTTTTCCCAAGCCTGTGAATCTCCATTACATCCCATTCTCATAATATTTTTAACTGAAAAGTTATAAGTAATCGTTCTCATGTGATTTTTGCACTCCTTCCCTGAAGCATGGGATTTTGACTTTGGGAAAGGTCTTCACATTTGTGAAATGATTATGGTAGCACAACCTATATACGCTCAGTATCACATGCTGTACAACTCAGTAATGGGCATGCAAAAGCAAGCATGGTGGTCCGAGGGTAGTGAGTTCCATGTTTTGCTAGAAACCCAAAATGGATAGGGGATCCATTATCCCCCAAAAACTAACTTGGGAAAGCAGAAAATGAAACTTACTAAAAATATAGTAATAAAGTGAAGGCTATCAGCTTGTGTGTGCAACATTTTCATATTAAAAGATCCTACATAAAGATCCCCAAGTTTCCAGAATCACAAATTTTGTCTCCAATATCTCTGTTTCCTGTGAATGCTTAACTGGAGGAAATTCTATACCACAATAGTCTTAATTCTTATTAATTAATTCTTAATTATCATGGTGAGATGAGTGGCAAATAAATCTAATTAATAATAAGTGTAACTGAAGGTGCTGTCAAACAAAATGATGGGTGAACAGCTTATCTGTCTCCTTATATTTTGTCAATCAAGTAGGACTAAGATAACACTTCCAAAACTTCAAGTTTTGGAAGCACAACTTGTCCTTCCAAGGCATTCCTCTGATTCCCCTGATTTCATTCCTCTGATTTCAAATATTCAGATCAAGTAAAAAATGATCAGGCTTCTGAAATCATCTGTCTGAATGCTGTCAGTGCAACTGGTCTTCATTTTCACCTAAGAGCAGCATATTAGAAAAGAGCAGCTATTAGAAAAATTGTTAACTGAAAAAGAGAGAGAGAGAGAGAGAGAGAGAGAGAAAGAGAGAGAGAGAGAGAGAGAGAGAGAGAGAGAGAGAGTCTCCTTTTCATACTGTAATTATTTTTTTAAACTTTCTTGACAGGACAAGAATTTGCAGAATGAGTTAAATGTTGTTTTCTTTTCTGATCATGGAATGACTGAAATTGATTGGATGGATAAAGTGATTGAACTGAAAAACTGCATCAACATGAGTGATGTTATAAACGTGAAGGACCGAGGGCCAGTTGTAAGCCTGTGGCCAGAGAAAGGCAAGGAAAATGAGGCAAGAACAGCAATCTTTTGTTTTTCTTAATGTAGTTTAGGCTACTTGTTGATATGCTTAATGTACCAAGTTATCTTGATAGATTTATGCATTCACAAACAGTCCAGTATGTTCTGCAAAGGACAGAAATGTGGAAAGAATGCCAGGAATCTTCATTTTCATATTTTCCTCATTAATGACAGGGAGGAGCATCTTCTTCCTTATCTTAGTAGGAATATACTGTAAACTGTCTATAATGTATTTATCCAGAAGTAAGAATATCTGAATTTAAGATGACCTTGATAAGAGAAGGATAGCTGGGCAAAAAATATCAGCATAGACAAAAGTCCAGCTTCTGCATAATATCAAACTCCAGTTGAAATCAATTCTGAAATTCTTCCCAATACTGAAGTGAGTAGATATCTCACACACATCCACACACAAATATATGCACACACACAACACATACATAGATAAACATGTAGAGAGATTAGATATAGATTTATTTTACATTTCAGAAAAAGGCAGTGCCAAAATAAACAATAACTAATAACTAATAATTAAAATTTACTTGAAAGAAAGATGTACCACTACATTGTCTATCTCTTCTGTTTCACCTTTGTAAACTACAGCCAGAGACAGAAAGGCATGGCTCATGAACATTTCTTTGGGTGTGGCTAATCTTCAAAAATATCCACACTTTTCAGCAGGGATGTCTGCAGCCATGTGCTTGTTTTCTGTTCTTTCCAGCAAGTATAAGAAGGCGTATTTCATCACCTTGCATAGACAAAGAACCATACATTTCTATGGATTTCCTTTGAAATTTGGGATTTCCATCAACCTATTGGAAATATTATGAAGGCTTACACTGGTTTACTTTAACATAGAGTAAAGGTAAATTGACTTTACATGGTACATATTTTTACCTGGCTGGTTTACTGATAGATGGTTTGTCAATTTGTATGAAAGTAGTGAAGACTGTCAAGATATTCCAAGCTAGACTCCTTGCAAAGAGATGGCTATGTATGTTACAAAACTTGAAAAGTAGTGAGGTTGTTCTTTTTCTTTCCCACTGAAGTACCCAACCCGTTCCTCCAAAACACTGTCACTGGAAGAAAGAAGAAAATCTTCTTTAACTAGGTTTGAAGTTAAAGTATCAGTCAGAAAGAAAGCCCATCTCCCTTTAACTTTATATAAACAGCTTGGAATCCTTGATGTACTCTGAGATTGGTTGTTTGCTTGCAGGCATTTTATTTCTTGATGAGGTAATCCTAAGTGCACTGACAGGTAGTCCTCGACTTACAATCACAATTGAGCCCAAAATTTGTTGCTAAATGAGACATTTATTAAGTGACTATTGCCCCATTTTATGATCTTCCTTGCCACAGTTGTTAAGTGAATCACTGTAGTTGTTAAGTTAGTCACATGGCTGTTAAGTGAATTTGAAGTCCTCGTTGACTTTGTTTGTCAGAAGGTCAAAAAAGGTGATCACATGACCCTGGGACACTGCAACTGTCATAAATATGAATCAATTGCTAAGCATCTGAATTTTGATCTTGTGACCAGGCAGATACTGCAATGGTTATAAATGTGAATCATAGCCATAAGTCACTTTTTTCAGCGCTGATGATGTAACTTTCAACAGCATCAAAACAGTTCCAGCAAAATTTCCAATTTAAATTTTCTGTCATTATTTTTAATCATATAAGGTGTTTTAATGCATCTGTTATTGAATAAATTGTCTGACCTTTTATCTGTTTATTGTTGGGAGTTTTTCCTAATAGAATGCAAGAAGCCAAAGTAGAAATATTTAAAGGAAGATCTTCTTCACAAGTGGTTTGATTTTCAGCACGATCATTCACTTTGGTGTGGACCAATTCTGTACACTGAAAACAATTTCACTGCTTTTATTCTTTTTGCAGATATATAACAAACTGAAAAATGTGCCTCATATGACAGTCTATAGGAAAGAGGATATCCCTGGTAGATTTTATTATAAAAAGGGGAAATTTGTTTCTCCGCTGACACTGGTAGCTGAGGAAAGATGGTTCATAGCAGAGGTAAGTGCTTCTAACAACCTGATTTTAATCAATTGGGATTCTCCATGAACAGTTTAAAACAGCAGCCCCCAACCTTTTGGGCACCAGGGACTGATTCTGTGGAGAAAGGTTTTTCTGTGGATTGGAGGGGACATGGTTTTGTGTGTGCTACCTGCACCCTGCGGATGGGGCTTTGCTTGTTTGTGTGGCCAGGTTGCTGGCATGTCGTGCATCGGTGCTAATCCACAGACCGGGGAGAGGGCTGGTTTAGAAAACCTACTTGTTGCTGCAGAAATCAATTTGCTTTGGACTACTAAATCTGGAAAGTTTACTGAAAAGCTGGAATGCCTCCAATCATGACTATTTTATGGGAAGGGTAAATACTGAATACACAACATGCTTCTCTCTCTCTCTCTCTTTCTTTCTCTTTCTCTCTCACACATATGGATACACATACACACTGATGGCCTGTACTATCATATAGTGAACCTGGGTCTATCATCAATAAAATATTGTTTTTTCTATGTAATTGTGTTTATTTGAAACATGAAACATTACTACTGTACACACTGACATCAGGTATGATCCAACTTTACATTACATCTATATTTTTCTATTTTATTGTTTCTAGAACTGCACTATAGGATTCAGGTGGTTTGTCCCTATGCAATAGAGGCCTCCTGTGGACATTGGAATTCTGAGAGCAGGGGGTGGGCACTCTTATAAAATGGCTGCTCCGTAGTCTGGAGGAGGAGGAGCTTGAGTTCTCTAGGCCAGGGATCCCCAACCACCAGTCCCCGGACTGGTACCGGTCCGTGGATCATTTTTTACCGGGACGCAAAGCTTAGGTGCCGCCATCTTGTTTTGACGGCACTTCCGGGTTTTCGGTTGGAAAGTGCTTCCGGGTTTTCAGTTGGAAAGCAGCGTTTGGGTGCTCGCGCCTTAGTTTCGTCAAAGGGGGGGCCGGCTTCGAACGAAGAGCCGTCCCGATGGCGGTGGAGTCTCACGTTACTCAGGTACTGGTCCGTGGAAGAATAAATAATCATGAAACCGGTCCCTGGTTCAAAAAAGGTTGGGGGCCACTGCTCTAGGCACCAAGGAAACTTTAGATGGATCTCTCCCAACTGTTGGACTAGTCAACTGCCAATTTTGCTGGCAGTGCTTCCTTTACATTCCCTTCCTTCCAAAGACCTTTTACTGAATTGCCTGAAAGACATTTAGGTATCCCATCCCTGGAACGCAAAATATTCAGAAGATAGTTTGCAGCAGCAAAGAATTAGGAGGCTTCTTTTTCTTATGGTTGCCATCTAGTCCTCATCCTGATGTTTGCCTCCCAAAACATGGCATATTTCATCCTTTGTTTCTTTACATGAAATATAATTAGAAATTATTTATTCTAATAAGTGATAAACTACTCTTCTGCTTTGTATATTTCTCAGTAGAAATAAGTTTATTGTGAAATAAATTGTTGGAAAGAGAATATTTACTTAGAAAAAGTATAAATTGTTGCTGCTACATACTGTTTGCTGCCAGGTCACTATTTAATACTGAAATAAAAATATTATACCTTGAAAACTATCAGTAGCAATGTAGAAAAATACAAGCATAGCAAAAGTTAATAAGGAGAGGCTGAATAGTGAAACTGTTTATCAAACATAATAAAAATGTGAGCAAATCTTTTATAAAATGTTTGTTCTGATGCCACAATGTCAAAGATAGCATTCTAAATAATATGTAGCAAATGAAATGATATTATTTCCTTCACCAATTCTCTAACCTTAGATATTTAATTTCTACATTTATTCTATAAAACTTTTCTGAGATAGCAGTAAAACTCATGAGAAACTTCTAAATCAGAATCAGAAGTTTACAAACAGCATCTTGGCTAAATCGTTCTTAATGCATATCTATTATTGCCTCTTTTTCCTCAATTACCAATATTCATCAGAAGTTAAGAAGTATCTGGAGAACGAGCAAATTTAGATGTCATTATGAGCATATAAAAACTCAAGTTCCAGATTAATCACTGCTGTAAACTTTGAAAGATATTTTTCAATAAAGGTTGTCTTTTTAAACATGTAATTGTTCAATTGTTAGTTCTGTTTTATTGCTTTTAAATGGTTTTTTAAATTATGTCTATTATATGACTGCATGGTTTTATTTATAAACCGCCTAGAGTCACGCAGGTGAAGTGGGCAGTATAGAAATATATTAAATAAATACACTACAAATACAAGTCACTATTAAATTTATTAGACTCCCACTGGATGATTTGATTAGTCTGGTTTAGCAAGGATTACCTTATACTCTTAGTGGTACATATCTATTCAAAGTTGTGTGTTCGGTGGAAAAGGATAGCTATTATAGAAACAAAAGAAACAGAATAGTTTTTGACTACTGACATGTTCTAGAATTTGTTGGTTGGTGTTCTGATCATTACCAAATGAATGTGTGCATATTGGGCAGACATGATATTGTCCTCTACTTTCTAAAAATGCATTTGTCTTGATTATGCTATTGATAAATATGCGTAACTTATGAATAATAAATATGCATAATTTTAATATGATTATACATAATTGTATCTTCTGGTGAATGTAAGACATAATTTTAGCTACAGCCAGATTCATACAGATATAGCCTTTACTGATATCAGAAATTACCTTTACTTTTTTGGCAATGCTGAATGTTTCATGAATGATGCCAACAAATAAATCACAGACTAACAATACAATCAGTCAGTGATTACTTCCAATTTATAGTTTGGTGAACTGGAGCTAAAAATATCGTAAATTAATCTTGGGTGTTTTTTCTTAATTTTCTCAGCTTCTATTTGTGCTGCAATTTTAAAATAATGTAACTGCAATGGCCTTGAAAGCAATGGGGGGGGAGGTCCTGGTGGGGTCACCCATTAAGATCGAAATTAAAGCTAATCACAAAGGGGGTGGAAGCAATGAAAGCCCCCCCCATCCCCAAGCATGAATAAAACCAACCTACATAGGGGAGGAACTTTGATGTTCCAATACTAATTATAAGCTTATGAATGCTGGACACTGTGAAAAAAAAAGGAAAAGACTTTGAATTAAAGATTTGGAAACAGTTTCTACTATATATTTCTAAGAATATCATGAATTTCATGAACTTATTGTGAAGAACCAACTAATCTTTTTTTAACTAACAAAGAAAGTCTGTTTATTTTATTAAAATGATCATCTGCAAGCATATATTCACATGCTTTGGACAACAATACTAGATACTTCTGTGGGTTCAGTTGTACAATATATCAAAGCCAAAAAATTGAAAGTTCTCTGTTCAGCCTGAATCTGTCAGTACAGGTAGTCCTCAACTTACAATTCGCTTAGTGACCATTCCAAGTTACAATGGCACTGAAAAAAGTAACATGACCATTTTTAAAACTCATGACCATCGCAACATTCCCATAGTCATGTAATCTACATTTGGATGTTTGACAACTAACCCACATTTAAGACATTTGCAATTTCTCAGGGTCATGTGATCACTTTTTGCGATTTACAAGCACAATTGAGCCCGAAATTTATGTTGCTAAATGAGAAATTTGTTGAGTTTTGTCCCATTTTATGAATTTTCTTGCCACCTCTGCTAAGTGAATCACTGCAGTTGTTAAATTAGTAACACGGTAGTTAAGTGAATCTGGTTTCTTCATTGCCTTTGCTTGTCAGAAGGTTGCAAAACGGGAATCAAGTGTCATAAATATGCAAATGGACAAATATGAATAATGCAAATGTCATAAATATGGACCAGCTGTCACGCATCCAAGTGCAATTCACGTGACCCTGGGGATGCTGCAACAGTCATCCATGTGGAAAATGTTCATAAGTCGCTTTTTTGTAACTTCAGAGAGTCACTAAATGAATTGTTGGAAGTCAAGGATTACCTGTATACTGCAATGATTTAACCATCTTATGTCTACAATATGTATTAAATAATGTTTTTCTCACTCTGAAGAGCAGAGAATCGCTTCCATTTTGGGATAATGGCACTGGAAAACGAGAAGCTTGGCAGAAGGGATGGCATGGCTATGATAATGAATTCATAGATATGAGAGGAATCTTTTTTGCATATGGACCAGGTAGGACAACTGGAGATTACGACGACCATATAGCTTTTCCTCCCTTCCTTTCTCCGTATATCTAGTGATTACAGGTGCTTATAACTGATGGATAGATTTGGATTTTCCAGGAAAAATAAAGAATATGGTTTCAGAATTTATCCATTTCCAGTTTTTAATGTCTCATTTCCAAGTAACATTCTCCTTGCTTTGCCAGCATGACAGCCAGACATATTATTAAAATTTGTTTCAGCAGTTACAATCCATTAACAGGTGATAACTAAAAAACTCCCTTTTTTGTTAATGCATATATGAATTGCTATAGATGGTAGAACAGGAAAGCATATATCTTTCAAAATTTGAAATTTAAATTACTGAACCCTGACATCAACCCAGACAACACTGATTTCTAGAGTCAGAGTCGCACAAAGATATTTAAGGCTAAGCATCTTCATAGATCCATTTTCACCATAAAAACTCCAGTACAATTGTCCTTAACTGAACCAAGTCTGGAGAAAGAGATTCTGTCCTAATTGGGGAAATTGTATCAGCGCTTTGCGTACTTAACACAAAGTTCACAGCTGCTGATTTGCTAATGTGAGAGATTCAAAACTGAGTTATTTTAATATACATTTTTATATTGACTATACATTTCTATATTAACTATACATTTTAAGGTACCATTCCCAGGACAGATAAGCTCCATAATGCTACAGATGACATTCTTCACTAGCCTCTTGTTATGCTGTCTTTTGGCTATTCTCTTGGCCTTAATGGGTTGTGACTTTTTTCTGTTGCACCATTCATCCCCTGCCCATCCCCCAAATTAAAGCATGTACAGCAATGATGGTCTATATACATGCTGAAAAGATGCTTATTAACTTTGGCATTAAAAGTTCATGACAGAACTCCGGAATTATGTATAACCACTGTGATATAATTATTGATGTATTTTATTATTTTATTTGATGTATTTTTAGCTTGCTCCATGTCATACATTATCCAATATATTCTTAATTTTACACCCCCTCTGGAGACGCAGTGCATGGCAGGCAGCACTGTTCACTATTTTTAAATAATAGATGTGCTTGCAGCATTCTGGCAAAGACTGCTGGTTTAAAACGCTTCTTTGTCTTGTTTCAGATTTCAAGTCTAACTTCAGAGCTGCACCAATCAGATCAGTTGATGTGTATAATGTTATGTGCAAAATCGCCGGAATTCCACCACTGCCAAACAATGGATCCTGGTCGAGAGTGGCCTGTATGTTGAAAGATAATGCCAATTTGGCCCCGGCGTTCCAATGGAGCAGCTCTGTGCTGGGACTTATTCTGTTTTCATTGTTTGTATAACAGATCTTGTAACACCAGTCTCAGTACAATGTCAGTCAGTGTGTCTAGTTTTTTTCCCCTCTTCCATTTCAATGGCAGCATTGAAATGGAAAATTCTGTCAGGAGAAAATGATATAAATTTATTTCTGAAAATCCTGGTGCCAAATGCTTGGAGGGGTACAAACAAACAAAAACTAGTGTGAGTTGGTTCCAATAGGTACATGTTGTCCATTACCAAAGCAAGCCCTGCTTCCGCCTTCTGCCATCAGCTCCAGAATTAATCCCCAGGGGACTGAAACCAGTAATCAAGATGAACCAACTCAAAGCAGGCAGACCCACTTGCTAATAACATCTTTTTCTAGCAGTTTTCTGCATTTGTAATACATTTACATTTAGACCAGCTTTTCACAGTCAGTCACCTCCCATCATGTATTATTTCTATGCTGTCCATAATTGTCTGACAGCCAATCTGGTGGGCTAATTTGCCAGGGATAGTTCACATTGGAGCCAGTTGTATGGAAAGCAGTGGAAAAATAGATACTTTAAAAGTTTTAGATGGAGCTTCCTTATATACATACCTGACAGGTGACAGCCTGATCAATAGTATGTAGTTGTTGTATAGAATCCACTGGAGCCTCTTGGCAATCTCTCTATGAAGACCTCAGCACTTCATGTGGCTGCCTGTCCCAGTAGCTGTTAGGTCAGGACATTCCTTCTGATGCTAACCTGAACCTGCTTCCTTTAGTTATTCCTTTTCTTTGTGACAACAAACCTTTGGAAAGATGAAAAGTGCTCTATCACCTTCAATTATTTCTTCTGTGGCCTCAACATAATCAGATCCTTTCAATGTGTGCCATTTAGTCACCAGCTGCTGAGCTCAGCCTCAGAGAGGTTGAAGAGAAGAGACCAGTGGAGAATAGTGGTGGTGTATAAAGAGGCCTTCAAACTTGGGAAATTGATTTGGGCTAATAATAATGATCCCAATGACTATTGACACACTTGGTGCCATATCAAAAAATTCTGGACCACACTTAGAAAATCTGCATATTGACAAAATTTCCTTCTATCAATTACAAAAGGTTACACTGATTGTATCCGCAATGTACTCCACTGAGTACATTTCATACAACTATACACATTTAAAGACAGGCAGAACAATTCCATAATAACTGATAAACATTGACATGTGCTTTTAAATCTCAAGTGAATCATTGAATCAATTGGAATGGAGGAAAAGAAAATCAATCTTTTGTTATCTGGCTATTGAATATAGAAGGCAATTTAGTTCTTGTTAAGCATTTGCAGTAGTTGGAAAACAAAGACCTATTGTTTAAAGGTCTGCATGCTACATTAATAGAGCAGACTGTTTGAATTCTTTGGAGCAATGTTCCCTCCCATTAAAAAAATCATTCAAAACCTTCATTAAACTGACAGAATATTACAATTTTACAAGCTACACAAACACAAAAAACAGTGGTCAGAAAGTTTCATTATTTCGTTGTCTCTTGCTCACATCATTTTAATCTGTTTATGAAAACTCTTTTAATAATAGTTGGGTTACCCCAGACTGTAGATTAGTGGAATGGAATTTTGAACTGAGGCCTTATTTTGAACAGTGCACATAGGAGGATAAAGCCTGCTTTTATTGACTGCTGCTAAGCCAAATGATTCTGAAGCAGAACTTTTCAGACATGTTTGCAGAGTGACTATGGAAGCTTACTGATGTGTAGCAGGATAGCAGCATCATTCCCCCAAATATGAGTTATTTAAATAAAAGAACTACTTGGATTAATGGCCTATAGAAAAGTCAACCTTTTTATGTCTTTTGAATTGATTTGTGTATTTTAAAAAATCAATACATTTTATAAAGCCATGACATACATAGAGACTAAGCAAACATACAGTTTTTAAAATATGGATGTGTGAGATTGGGAAGGGGAATTTTGGCATTGATATTTACAATACTCTTGAACTGTGAAAGCATGAATATTGTGAAACAGGATAGGAGGGACTCTGTTTCTCTTCTCAGCCTAACAGAAGGCTGGAAAGAAATTATGCAAGCAGGGTCAGGACTCTGTCCATCTGTCTCTCTGTCTTCTCTGAAAACTTAACAATACAAGATCAAATTGGCATGGGAAGAGAAGCTGACAAAAGAAAGGTCAGCTCAGAAATGGGCTAGATCAGGGCTGTCAAACTTGTGGCCCTCGGGCCAAATACGTTACACACTGGCCACACCCAGGCCCAGCTTAGTGAAAGGGAAAAAAGTCAGGATACATCACGTGACACTGCCATGATGATACGAATTTGACATTCCTGGGCTAGATCAAACTGGAGGTTATAGAAGAAAAAAATATTAAAAAAATATTTCTGAGTGTTCCATTCTAGGGCCAATATATCTAGCTGTACTATACATTTTAGTGCCCATGCACACACACACAAATGGCAACTCACTATTTTACACATCACCTCACACATCTACTGGTGCCTTCTATGACCACGACTTGCAAAGATTTTGGAAAGAAATCCAGAAGCTGTGCTCTGCAGGATTTCTGTTTGTGAAGACTGAAAAATCACCCTAAGGAGAACACTTCCTGGCCAGTGCTCCTTTACCACCCCTCAACCTACATCTATGTCATATTTAGCTCTACTACATTCTTCATTGAGGTCAATAGCCATATTATTTCTTTGTTTAGATTTGCATGGCCACAGTCTTGGTTGGTGAACAAAGTTTAAAACAGAAGTTACAATATAAAAGACTATTAAATCATACAACAGCCAAGGATGACATCAGACAGCCAGGCTTCACTGATTTCCTTCTGAGCAAACAACCAAGTTTTCAGCACAAAGAGAGTTGGGGCCAATCTAACCTCAGGTGGCAAAGTTTTTCCAAAGGATACACACTATGATGAAAAAGGTACCCTTCCTGGATCCCATAGGATGGCCCTTTTTAATCAATAGGACCCGAAACAGGCTCCTCCTTCCAGATCTAATGTGGAGGGCATAGACTTATGCATGTATAGGGGTCATGGGTGGTCTCAAGAGATTTTAAAAAGGGGCAAGAAGTGGCTACAACTATGCAGTCAAAATCCTGGCCCTTTTATGTTCGGCACAATGCATAGAAGGTGGGAGGAAGGGATAGACTTTGATTGCATCTTGTGATCACCATCTTGAGTTGTTTGAACCACTCCCTGCAGACCTGCCTGGTTATGGGGAAACCGAACAATGAAGGAACTCTTTGGTTGACCTGATTAGGATTGCAACAAATAAGATGGGGAAGCTATTTTTTCCCCTGTAGAAAACTCTTCCTCATAAGCTTTTGTATACATTTTTAGGAGATAATAGGTGAAAAGTTTCCTCAAAGGATCTATTTGTCATGACAGGCATACATAATCTCTTATTTCCTTGCTAGTCATCTGTTCTGTGTTTTGCATTTTAACAACTGGTGTGTTAAACCTGATTGGATTTGTTTTTATTTGGCCCTTGGTCACAGTAATTGCAATCTACTTTTGATTTAGAAGTCATTCTGGTACCTGGATTGAGGTAAGCAATGAGGTTTGGGGCAGAATAAGAGGTACCATCTGGGAAGCAATGGAAGACAATGGGTAGAGGAATAGAAAAATATTTTAATTGCTTTGGATAGTGCCAGTAATTATGGCAAATTTATCCAATATCTGCTTTCTAATACAAGACTAAATAATCAAAAAAGTGCCTAGAAGAGGAATCTATCCACTTCCATGTGTTATATTACTCAATGCCACCTCTTTTTGGGAATCCTGCTTTCCGATACACGATATATTTGCCAGTGTAGCCATTTTATTTTGGGAAAACGTTCTGCGCCTTTGCAAGGTTCCCATTGCATGGTCTTGGAAGTATAAGGATCTTCTCAGATGGCAAACGGCTCATTTAAATTCCTCGCTTCCTTCCAGCTGCCAATACATTCCAAGCATTCTCCTTCCTCCTCCCTTCATTTCCCTTGTCAAGTTGCAAGTAGAGGTACATTACAAGTCAGCCTCCACAGCCATTTTCTAGGATATTTTCACCACTGATTGTGCATGTTCAGTTCAAACACAGATACTACACAGAAGTTGTAGCAACCTGCCAAAATTTCTACTTTTTATAACAAAATATTTTGGCATATGATCTAAAGTTAAATTGTGGTTATGTACCAGGACTAAGGAAGATACTGGACTGTCTTCCTGGGAAAAAAGAAAATGTCACAAGTGTTTATATTTATCCTGATAATAAAGTGTTCAGTGAAAGATTGCACAACTTCACCAATAAAATAGCCACAAATTAATATAACTTTCTCAAGAGAAATTATTTCCCAAGGCAAAAATTTAAATCTGACGTTTCCTTTATTGGATCAGTATGAATGATATTAAATCAAATAATTCTTTTAATAAACCCATCTTTGTTGGGTTTTTAGAGACAACCTTTACAGGAATACGTCTGCTACAAATAAATATTTTCAGCTTGTATAAATTACAGTATTTCTTTAATTCCATTCTCCTTTGTTAATTTCTTCATGCAAAATGATCATATAAGATCATGTATGGTGTCTTTAAGTAAACAAACCCTAAAACCTTAAAAGATACATCGAAATGTATCCAAATTTAGGTGACTATGGCAAAGTGTGTATTTATGTAATACAAGATTATTCAGCATTATGTAAAAATCGTGCACAGAAAATCAGCACTACAGTATGTTCATGAAATATCCCAACACTATTTAGCTGATGTGTTCTAAATTCTTCCTTTCTGATTTTTAATTAGCTTAATTTTATTCATGTTCAACCCAAGTGCAAAAGCGTAAAACGCAGGTGAGAGACAGAAGGCTGCCAGAATGAATTTTTCAACAAACAGCAAACTAGGTGAAAATTATTGCGCTCAATCAGTGGCATGGTTTTAGAAAATAAAGATCGTGTCAAATGTTATTTGAGATCAGAGCTTTTGTAACATAGCTGTCCTTAGACCAATATTAAATATTATATTTTGGGTCACTAAATAATCATTAACTACACGTGCCTTTTTTAGTAGTAATGGAGTTTCCAATTTATTTCTTCATTCTATTAACATATAGAAGTCTTGCAATCAAGACCAAATCTATAGTTGCCTTAAATTATTCCAAAATCCGAATATAGAATTTCAGTTATCTTTAGAATATAACATTTAAGCCATGAAAGCTATTGCAAAGTTGCTATTAAATATCAGATCAGATGACTATAAAATTTTACAGTACTGATTTATGACTTGACCATGAATGAAATAATTGACTTGGTATCAGAACTCCAGATAGATGAGCTGGTTGGTATGAATTTGACCCAGAGCAGCTGACTTGGTTTCTTGGTTGCAGGGACAAGATTTAAAGACTTTTTTGTGGTCTGCAGGAATATCTTCCCATTTATGAGAAAACCTCAACTGTGGGTTTTTATTAGTTGATAAGATACCACCACCTTATCACTCAGTTTCCTCTATGATAAGGTTGTAAGAGTGGTAAGCAGTGTGATGTAATTCTAATTCCAAGAAGTTAATTTTGGGACACAAAGTTGACATTTACGCTGAGACAGTCCTAGTAGGGCCTGCTTGGAATTTCATGGCCTGTTTGATATACGGTACATGGATCTCTGTCAAATTACAATCGGGCCAATGAATAGTCAAACCTCATTTTAGTTTTTGCTTTAAACTGATAGGTAGTTAGGGATATCGGGGTAGTTCGTGTCAACTCATTGACCTGATCAAACTTCACTATGGTGAAGTTTGATCTCATTTCTCAAGCCTGCTATAACACCAAAGGTTTCTGTGATTCTGTGAAGGACTATGTGGAAACTTGTGGAAACTGGTGAATTTTTGAGGGTACTGGGATATTTTACCAAAGTCAGTCAATGAGTGTAGTAATGCCTTTTATGGACGTGGAGAGCGGTGAATATTCCCTTTCTTTAGCACTATGACATCAGGGTTTCTCCATGATTTTTCGGGGGGGGGGGGGGGCGCTCCAGGTGATGAAAAAGCTAGAGTGCAAATGGGGTAAGACTCATTTTGAAGCTGATTAGACATAACACAGTACAGTATATTCAGTCATGCTTACTAAATGCCAACGAAGGCTCTAAAGCAGCCTTCCCCTTTATGCAGGCTACGAATGTACTGTCATTTCCTCCAGAAAACACTTAAGAGACCTGCTGTGACAGATGTGCAAGACATTTTGAGAGCAAAATTACAAATCTTCACGATGACTCATACAAAGAATAAGTGTTCAGAAGATGGGAAGGGATTTGTCCATTCCTCAGAAAGCTTATCTGGTTGGAAGGGATTTGGTCAGCTGTTATTGTACCATGATGGTATTCTTATTGATAAAATGCCAGTGTGAGCTGGGATTAGAGACATTATGTCAGAGTGCTTTTTCTTCTAGGTTTAGGGACATTCTTAGTAATAATGGGTAGCTGTTCCTCTGTATGTAGGCGCTTATGCTACAGAGTACTCCAGAGCATGTTTTGTCCCCAGGACTCTTTAACACCCGTCTATCATCTACGATTTGCCTAACCGATCACATTTATAGACTGTACAACTTATAGCAATTAAGAGTGGTGCACATGAAGCCAATGGAAGTTCTCATCGAACTTTCATGGTTCAGTGTCAGCAAAATATTGATAGCAGTAACATTCCATAACACCTGAACCAGGAGAGCTTGGGCATGCTCTAAATCAATATCTAGCTGTAGTGAATTAGTGGATGAGGGCCAATAAATTGAGACAGACTCCTAATAAGATGGACAATCATAGAATCAAAAGGCTCTCTTTCGAGCTTCCACCTA